CACACCATGATTCAAGATGCTCTTAGTCACAATAACTGTTCTGGAAACGGAGTACGCGGCAATATTAATGCCGCCGCGCCAATAACCAATAACACCACCTAAACTGTACAATATCAATGACATTTTAAGGCAGGAAATCCATTGGGTGGTGGAAGGAATCCCTTGAGTGCAGCTTGAGAGTGTTCCTGACGCCTGAGAGCAACTCACAAACTGCGTCAGTCTTACGCTGGGACACGCCAACACGCCAACACGCCAACACGGCACGGCACGGCGTGACACGGCTTTTTCCCGGGGCCCCAATTTCACCTATCTGGCTTGCTCAAAAGGGAAATATTTGTTGTCCTCGCATTCCTCAGATGGATTTTCTCAGTGTATAGAATGGTGTAGTCATATCTATTTGATGATTTGGAATGCATTGGGATGCCCAGTATGAGTCCGAACGAGTGATTTAGAGGGGTGGCCCACTACCCCGTTTTTTGCCATTTTGGGATACCCCCGGAAAGTAAATTCGGTGGGCCATGAAACCGTGGTCTAAATTTGCGAAAAATATCTCTACTCAGTCACAGGATGTATACCTTCGTTTCAGACCCCATATACTTGTACCTAGTTCCCTTCATGCGCCGGATCAAGGTAAAGAATGCTAAGGTGGCCCGGTTCCCAGTCTCAGATAATAATTGCGCCTGCGCATCAGCGAGATTTTGTTTCGCAATCTGAACTTCCTCGTCATCGGCGGGAGCGCGCCTTGGCTTCTCCGCTGCCCGCGTACCGCGCTTATTGCAGCTGTCATACCGGTGCACAACATCATTACGGGGGTTCCGAACATTGCTAGTTTTTAACATAAGCTCGATCTCAGCCTCACGGCGCTTGTCGTACTGAGTAACAACCATTTTAGTGGGAGTGGGACTCGATGACTCCCATTCCAGTACTTGAAAAGTGAGACTCAGTCCCATTAATGGGACTCAACTTTGCTACGGAATGCGACTGATTACATCAGCGGTGCGACTGATGCAGTGATGCGCAATCAATCCCCGCTGGTGGCCGATGATTTCCACCTGCTCCGGCCGAAATGAAATCTTCGCGGGGCGAAACAGAATAAGAGCATGTACATGTAGTCTATAATTGCACCAAATGTCTAAGGGATAGCGTGAGAGGATGCTATTGAGAAAACTTTACCGATGATCTTGCGATGATCAAGGTTTTTGATCTCAAAATAGCTATCCATGTCCTCGACTTCCTACTGGCCGAGAAGCCCCGGGAAAATTTGGAGGAGCTTCTGCACGGTGAGTCGATTTCGGATTCTTCATATTGGTCTTCCGGGACGTCGTTAGAGTGTTTAAAAGTAAAGTGACATTAGTCACACAAGTCACAAGGCGAGCTGATTGTCACGCTCCATCTCTCAAACACTCCGACAACAGCCTGAAAAAAATTCTGAAGAGGCAAAAAGCCAGCAGTAAATACAGAATACCACTCAAATTTTCTCAGGTGTTCTGGGCCCGGTGAAAGCTAAGAACATCGATAACTATTTTGACATCAGTCCTTGATGAACAGCAAAGCTTTCTGACCAGCTTCCTCTCATGCCATCCCTGGGACAGCCCCCATAACCATAGGTTACATGCACATTTTTGTACTACGAAAAGCTCCGAGGGCAAATGTTCAAATATGAGAGAGGAATTCGCGATTAATCAGACCCATTGGGCATGATAGTAATATGATCAAAATTAACCGTTCCTTAACGAAATGGCTCGCGCTTCTTTTTTCTCCTTTTGCTCAAATCCTTTGGTCTCTCTCACCTTTTCAGCTGTGCTTTTGTTTCCTCCGCTCACACGATCCATTATTTATCAGTCTGTCCATCTCATCCACGTGCAGCCTCGGAATTGACAGCACGCTGCTCGACCCTAACTGCCGGTAGGACCAGGAATTCGTTGTCTTGACCACGTTGCTAATTTCCTGTCCTCGATTTTCCCAATTGAATGCACCGGAGTGAAGCGGCGGTTCGTCTTGTACATGTTAAACGTCACGGAATCGGCGCCCCGTTGCCGAGAAATGATGGTTTGATGCGCATTGATGCGAAGACCATCGAAAATGGGACTCGCGTAAATACATCAGGGAAACACCACTCGCCTATATCGCCCTACCGAGAGTCCCGTAGAGCAGTAGGCTCAGATCCATGTCCCCTCAATCATAGAGGGTACATGCTCTATCAAAGATCACTGTAGATCCGTAGATCCGTAGATCCGTAGAGCCATAGAGCACTGTAGAGCAATGTAGAGCATGTGTTTCTATGGTAGAGCGCCCATAGAAACGCGCTTACTTCTCAATCAACGGCGTCGCATGTTGTCCGATGCGGAAGATGTAGAAAATCACGCGGGATCAAGCGGGATGAGACGCGCAAAAAATATATATTTCGACAACAGGTACAAGGTATATAGTGTGCAGGACATCGGACAAGAACCACCAACTCACCAAACCAATTTACCGTGAAAAAATAATTGCGTAGGCCAACGGGATTGAAGAGGCAGCCCTTGACAACGTTCGGGAGAATTAGGCCATCCGATGGAGCACCGAGCCGGTGAGCAATACGGAAATGGCATGGAGGATTGCGGTGCAGCTTGACGATATTTGGAGGGCAGGGAATCGTGATTAGACGCAGATGAAAACGCGGATGAAAACGGGGCAAGAAACGAGGTGCAAGGATAGTATTGCGATAACTTGAAAATCAAATCAATTCTTGCGACGTTTGACAGGCCCTGAGTGGCGGGAATCAAAGAGAGTGAGGACGAGCAACGGGGATCGTTCTTTTCGTTTGAAGGGGTTTGTGCCGGAGTTGAGGTCTTGGGGGGGGGAACAATGTGGGTCGGCTTGGTCTGAGGAGAGTCAAATGTATGAGGGAACCAAGCTAAGGTGTCCACGAGATGGAAATGCAGGAGGATGAACGGAGCCGAGGACGAGTAACTGAGAGGACTTTTGTGGTCAGGGAACAACAGGGAGAAAGATGGAGGGGGAAAGGGAGAGATTTGACTTGGACTTGACACACCGCGAGTATTTGAGTGATTGCGTGGCCACTTCTCACGCACGGACATGAGCATGCACGCGCGTCACCTCTGTCGAGCATAGGACGCGATGGGGCACCCGAAAGAATCTGGTGTCGAGGCAAAAACACGGCGCGATGATAGATGACGTGTTTCTATGGCGCTCTACCCGAGACATGTCGGCTCTATCGGCCTCTACTTAGTGATCTGCGATCTATGTTGAGGCCGGGTCTCTACCTGACCAAAAGCTGTTTCCTGATGTAGGCGAGTCCCACTCCCACTCTTCTCGTATATACTCTGGAACTGATGTAGTATCAGTTTCCCGGCAAGCGCGATGGGAATAGGGCGAGGAGTCGCATGGGTGAGATGTGTGCGGATGGCAACTTGTGAAGTCAAGCCCTTCGTCTTGAAAACGTATATATGTCAACTCGAAGGCGCCTGTCCTGCATCCTCAAAACATAGCGACCAAATGTCCTGAATCAAATTAGATGCTCTGGACGACTTCTCTTGACCGTCGAAATTAAAAACGCAGTCCCAGGTGAACTCATTTGAAGAGAAATGCCCTCATTTTTTCCTTTATAAACCTTGCAATTCACTTGCGACCGGAAGACTTTGAGTTGACGATAGTAGTGAATACTCATCGACACTAATGCGGAATTAGCAGATGAACATCCGAGTGTTGACTTCCCGTCCATCTTATGACGATTGGAATCACTGGTTTCGTGTAATAGGGTGACGAAATTGAGCTATTCTAGAGCATAGGACACTCATGGCGATGTAATGAATTTAGATCATGGATATATAGCTGTCAGGATAGATGGAGTTCGACTGATTGATTCTGATTCGAAGCATTCGTACCTTCGTTGTAATTGTACTATTTAAATGAAACGGAACTTATGAAACCAGCTTAGGATAGCTGAAGTAAAACAGGTCTCACCCCGGTGATTTACTCAAGCCACTTAACGCACTGCGCGGTTGATCTATACAGCCGCACTGTACTTAGCAGTTGGCGCAAACTGGCCTTAGATGTGGTGTAAGCCTTCAATGATAAGCCAATGTCCCGTGGATTATGTACTTTAAGTTGAAGCTCAAGCCAGGTGCTTTAGCTAGGCTCAAGTCACGTTTCCGGTCAGGGTGAGGTGAAGAATCAAATCATGCATAGCATTCAACGACGTCGACACCGAAAGCCAAGTCACCACGGATAGTGTTTGGTTACTGCTTGAATGATGGGCAGAATATGTAGAACTCATTCACCTTGCGCCAAGTGGCATTGATGGAGAGTGGGGCCATGACTGGCTAGTGTCTGATTCCTTCGCTCGACGTCAGCAACGAGCTGATGGCTGAATGATTGGTGATCGAAGGGTTTTCGAAAGGTTGTACGGAAGCCACTGGCTGTGAATGCAAAGGACACATCTTGGAAGACGTGTTGGTGAAGAAGCGAAGAAGACTCACCTAAAATGCCACCGACACGTGAAAATGACAGTGTTAAAGACTAACTTTCCAACGCACTTTGAGATTGCCAGAAAGAACAGCATTCCACGTTGCTTTCCATTTGACTTGAAGGAACCACATTATTTGTTGGTTTCCAATCATGAGATAAGAACCATCGACAAAGAATGGCAGTCAGAAAGGTGAAATTCCCCCCCATTGTAAACGGTCCTAAGACAGATGAACTCGCTATAGACATGTGAATTCCCGCGGGGCCTAGAGATGTTCGCTACCCTTCGAGCCCTGGATGATGGAGTTGAGAAACTTGAGTTCGTTCGATAATTGCCCATCGAGACACCAGAATTTGGGTGTTTCCCATGACAAGGGCAAAACGAGAGTCCATGGCTAACCCACAATAAAGTGCGGCTTTGGAAACTATTATTGTTGATGATGTCCAGTGGGAGGGAAGGCTGTAGAACTGCTAAATTATGATTTGAACTGTGGGAGTGTGAGCTTGGGCGAACCGCGGCGAACGAAAAAGGGAGTCGACACCGTGGTTCGAACACGGGACCTCACGATATCGGAGACTTGCATTGCAATCGTATGCTCAACCACTAAGCTATGTCGACTGAAAGCCGAGGCTGCTAGGAACGCCTGCCTCGTTGGTAGCCGCATGTTCAACCTTATTTCAAGCTCAGGTGTTTCTAGGAAGACAAGTGCGGTCGGTGAGCCGTCGAGATTCAACTCGGAAATTGAGTTGGAGGGGCGTGTGGATCCTTGTTTGGATTTCGTTGTCAGCAAATCTGTCGACTTGTCGCAGACGTGGTCGAGCGCACCATTTCCTTCTTCCCATCTTTCTTGACGCCCCTTCCTCTTTTTCGCGGTTGTATTCCTCCTGTCCATGTCTACGTCTTCCACGACCGATGAACAGCCAGTTTCGCCGTCCCACCCACGCCTCGTGACATTACTCCCCCGAGATGCCTGCGCATGATACGCTCCATGCGTAAACTCACAGCGGGTCTTGGCGAGACTCCCGTCATCGAAACGGCCCCATAGATCCTCGCATCCACCTCTAAAAAACGATGTTTTTTCGTTCACGCATCCCCGTCCCTTTCTCCGCTTTCCCTCGTCCTCCCCTTCCAAAAACCTCCCCCGACTCACACACCAGAGGTCCGCCCCTCGCTCGTCTTGCGTGTCCCACACCCATTCGGGGGGCACATGTTCTCTGAGTTTCAGCCCGACACTAACGTCGCCCGAGGATTCACCCTCCCAGAACAGCCCGATCGCCGTCGACTCTGCCTCGCACAGATTTCCCGCACCCTAGGCGGACCAGGCATGCGATGCCGTTCTTTATACTCAGAAACCCAGAAAGTATGGATGCGATTCCCACCGCCCCGCTGTCCGCGACCTCAGTGCACTTCCACTTACCGACCTTCCGGCCCCGGGCGACATTGTCGAATCAAGAGCCTTTTGGGCAAATCCGAACACCGAGGCCTTGCCCCCGAGGCAAGAACCGAATTGAGGGTCGGTCGCGTTCGAGCCGGCCGGGCTGAATGCTCACCTTTGCACGGCCCCGTCCGCCCAGATTCCTTGTCCGCCGTTTCGCACCATGACTTTTGGGAATGCAGCGAAACGAACCGGCATCGACGGGCCACTGGGAAGGCGCGGTGGGAATGGAGTTGAATGTGAGGCGGGAACTAAGTACGGGACCCAAGGGTCAAGTAGTTAGCGACGAACCACGGGCCTTGCATCGGCTTTGTTTGTTTCTTGATCGACTCTTCCTCGTGCACCCCGAGGGTAAATGGTAAGCGCTGCGCACGGTCAGAACATTCAGAGCTGCCCTCACCTCGTGGATATCGATATCATTCATGAACGAGTACAAACTGGTCTTGAGCATGATATCAACCTGGCCACGATGAGGAGGCGCTGAGGCCAGGTTCCTCCGACACCAATATTAATCAGTATTTACTTCGACGCACATTCAGAATTAATTGTGGGGCATTGGCCTCGTTAGCGGAGAGAGGATATTGCGCTGGAGTGTTGGTAGCCTGACTACGGTGGATGTAAGCAGGGCGTATAGTTCGGCAGAAGGAGCAAGTCTTTCAGGTCTTCGAAAGACCGAAATGGAACCTCACCTCGCGTACCAGCGATCTTGGTAGTGAACGTTAAAGCCGAAGTTTCTGAAAGTTGGAGTAAGAAGGGTCGACTATCTATGCTCTGGACAAGGCAAATTGCCTTCGGTATGACCAAATACACTAAATAGCAGTGAGCAGCAGGTCCCTTCACACGAAAATTGGAGACCCGCCTACGATATTACGGAGATACAACGCTGTATTCAAGGCGGAAGATCGATTAAAAAATACCAGACTTCAAGCTGGCGCCGCGTACCCGATCCTAATCCAAACGCGGCAGCGCCGCATCCCTCATCGTCTTCAGCTCCGCCCACATCAGACACTGAAACATCCTTGTAAGCACATCCCGCACATCCTCCAATGCCCTTACACACTCCTCACGCATCCCCGCGTGGCACGCCGTACACTTTACGCGTTCACATCCCACAATGACATCCGCGTCCCAGAGAAACAGCGGGTCCAGCGGTTGAACTCGTGTGCACTTCGGCTGGTAACGCGCCACGGTTCCAACCAGGGTGCTCACGAAATGCGCCACGGCACGCACACAGCGGAGAGGGCTCCACACCCCGGCTCAAGGCGAGGACGGAGTGTGAGCCCGGGAATGTTGTCCGCGTGGTCGAGGCATAGTGGAGAGGTGTGCTGGGAAACGTAGTGTTATAGAGAAGCTGGTACCCAGATCTGCAAGACGGGGTTGAACGACTATCGATTATACTTGAATCGAGGATCGCTTTGAGCATTATCAGAATTTAGGAGTCGAACAAGGGGAATACCGTGAACGGTATAGTCCGCGGATGCCGCGATGTGAGCAAGAACGATGGATTTGGCAGCAGGTAGCCGGTCGTCGACGCAGAAGGATGTGTGCGCGCGCAGCTTCCCGAACAAGATTTCGAATTTCCAGCGGAGAACGAAAGGCAACGACTGGGAGCTGGTCCCGGTGGGGCAGTACCAAATGTATTGAAAGTATCCATGTTGCCAGGAGAGTGGAAGACCTCCAAGTCTGCAATCCAAGAAAACGACAGTGAAAGTTGGGAGTAGGAGAGAGCACTGCCACTGATTGATTGATCTCGTTTGCTCTCGCGCCGGCGGCCATTACGTTGGAACAAAGTTGGAAAAATTGTGTTGAAGTCCGGAATATGCCCGGTTCTCTTGGGCGCTACCGAAATCTGTCCACGGGGATCCTTGATATCTAAACTTTGACTGAGTTGCCGTTCCAGCCAGCTCTCGAGTCTCTATGAGGGACTCCCCAGGGTGGACTGAATTTGCCGCACAAATGTGATGGGGGTTTCCTTATGTTTTGCATTGCTCGGGCAGCAGCAGGTCGACCTACAGGTCGATTCGCCGTAGCTTATCCGCCTGTTTGCTGGTATACCAGCCGGCCTTACCGCTTTCGCAAAATCTTATATTGCCCAGATGTCGAAGGGAGCCGGCCCTCCTGGGGCGTATTCTGTGAACAAGTAGCATAGGGAAACATTAAAAGGATCGTCCTGGTGGACTCTTCAAACCTAAAGCCCTTTTGCGCTCGTAGGTTGCCGATGCCCGGCATAAACTATTCACTCAGAGATTTCCACAGAAAAGAGGCAAGCATAGTAAAATCTATCCAAGAAAATATTCGCAAAGTACCAAATACCGCGACTGAAGAGTGGGTGCCAGCGAGCGCATTTATACCGAACGATCCCAAGTCGTTTTGACTGTCAAAAAAGAGCTCAAGCTGCGGTGGCCTTGGCAGCTTCGTCGCGGCTCCATCTGTTGTTGACGGAGTCCACAACGGGTACCTTTTTTTTGTATTAAACCACTGGACAGCTGCGAGGCATAAGGCACTTACAGAGTCAGCTTCCTCGCGAACATCGCGGCTCCATCTGTTGTTGACGGAGTCCACAACGGGCACCTTTTTTTTGTATTAAACCACTGGGCAGCTGCGAGGCATAAGGCACTTAAAGAGTCAGATTCCTCGCGAACGTCGCGGCTCCATCTGTTGTTGACAGAGTCCACGACGGGCACCTTTTTTGTATTAAATCGCTGGGCAGCTGCGAGGCATAAGGCACTTACAGAGTCAACTTCCTCGCGGACGTCGCGGCTCCATCTGTTGTTGACGGAGTCCACGACGGGCACCTTTTTTATGTATTAAATCGCTGGGCAGCTGCGAGGCATAAGGCACTTACAGAGTCAGCTTCCTCGCGGATGTCGCGGCTCCATCTGTTGTTGACGGAGTCCACGACGGGCACCTATGCTTTGTGTTCAACCACTGGGCGGCTGCCGGGGACAAAGAGCTTATAGAGTCGGCCTCCTCGCGGCTCCAATTCCTGTTAACTGAGTCGACGACGGGAGCCTATGTGTAATATTTGTGCCTCAATCACTGAGCACCCGGAACCAGGAGCTTACCACGGGTCGGGCTACTGCCAGTGCAGCCATGGTAAAGACCAGGAAAGCAGAAAAGTCGACAAAGACCATGGTTGCAAGAGAGGGATTGAATAAATCTGAGGGCAGTAATTCTGAGGTTGTCGCAAGTCCAAGCAAGCTTTATACCTGCTGGACCTTTCCCGCAAAGGCAAACAAAGGTTCGAGATTGAACTTGGTTTCTGGTGGCCATCATGGTGTGGTGTCCTTGGCTGGGGACTGTCACCCCAAACGGAGCCCTCGGAGGGAATTCGAGAGACGCATATCCTGTGGAAAGCTCGTAGAAGCAGTCATGACTAAATTGGGAAGACTTTACTCCAGAAGATATGTCAGAGTTTCTATGTCTGGTGGCGTTGAATCTGGCTGGCTGACATTGAATGAACAAGCTTAAGCGAACAGTCGAATGATTTGCAAGACGTCGGGAGAACCTGCGCCAATTCTGTTTTTGGCGTTTGAAATGTCGGAGGCCTGTATTGCCCGACGGCTAGCTGAATAGAACGGGAATAGAACGGGCCGGCGGTCCGTTATCGAATGATATCTAAGAGAGGCTTTGAACTACAAGGCTTGCAATCACACCGGAAGTCACTCAATTCCCGCGCACTCTAAGTGGCCCGAAAGGCAATCTTAAACCAGTCCGTGAATCTTCCCATTGGCTCGGCATTCCCCAGGCCAATAGGAAATTTCTGAACCTTTAGTTTCGAGTTAGACTTCGAGTGCGCCGAAATTTGATTTGGTGTGAATCCAGAGCCCAAGGCTGTCTGATTTTTGCTCATTTTTTTTTTTCAAATACCCCGACGTTTATTCCATTTAAATGTAGATTCCGGGGCCACCGAGGAGAACGGAAATTTATCCAGGATCCATTCGCCATCGCAGGTGATTGTTGGGCTGGCGTTACCAACGGCGCCCATAGAGGTAAAATTAGAGCGGTGGAAACCAGTACCGTCTGATGAATGGCTCAGAGAACCACACAGAAGGACGAGCTTGACAATTCCAAATTCCGTTTTTGACGCTTGGAATGCTGAGCGCTTCTATTGTTAAAGAGCTGACGTTGAATGGAACGAAACGGCATTTCCCGCACTGTATGAAGCGGCGACAATCATCAA